CTGGGACTGGGTCAAGCTCGAGTATGAAATCGTCTTCAGGAATGGGATCCTCTGGGTCTATGTCACAGAAGCCACCTCCATCATCAAATTCTTCCACGGCATCTTCATCTTCCTTTTCATCCAGTGGGTCTTCCATGTCTTCATCTCAAAACCAGCATGGAAGTTCCAAAGGCAAGTCTCCTAGCAGAAATAAGAAGCCATCTCTGACTGCAGTCATAGACAAACTGAAACATGGGGTTGTCACTAGCGGGCCTGGTGGAGATGACCCAATGGATGGACAAATGGGGCCAAGTTCCAATTCCTCAAGCCATACTATGTCCTCCAAACACAATATGTCTGGGGGTGAGTTCCAGGGCAAGCGAGAGAAGAGCGACAAAGAAAAATCTAAAGTCTCTGTTTCTGGAGGATCCGTTGACTCTTCCAAGAAGACTTCAGATTCCAAAAATGTTGGAAGCACTGGAGTGGCCAAAATTATCATCAGCAAGCATGATGGTGGTTCCCCTAGTATTAAAGCCAAAGTAACTTTGCAGAAACCTGGGGAAGGAGGCGGGGATAGCTTAAGGCCTCAGATGGCTTCGTCCAAAAGCTATGGATCCCCTTTAATCAGTGGATCTACTCCAAAACATGAACGCTGCTCTCCCAGCCACAGTAAGTCACCAGCATACACTCCCCAAAACATAGACAGCGAGAGTGAGTCGGGCTCTTCCATAGCAGAGAAGTCCTATCAGAACAGCCCCAGCTCTGATGATGGCATTAGGCCGTTGCCTGAATACAGCTCAGAAAAACATAAGAAGCACAAAAAAGAGAAGAAAAAAGTGAAAGACAAGGACCGGGACAGAGATCGGGATCGGGATAAAGACAGAGACAAGAAGAAATCTCACAGCATGAAGCCAGAGAGCTGGTCTAAATCCCCCATTTCAGCTGACCAGTCCCTCTCCATGGCGAGCAGTGCCATCCTTTCGGCAGAGCGGCCATCCCGGCCAAGCCCTGAGTTTCTCATTGGGGAAGAAGATGATGATCTGATGGATGTGGCTCTAATTGGCAATTAATTTTCTCAGTATCTTCAGAAGATGAGCTGTACACAGGACCTGCAGGTTCTAGGGATGGAAAGAAAGGAACCGCTCGCTGCAAGCCTGACACACTGACCTTTATGAGCCTTTATGAGGTGTGTTAAGAGGAAGCAAAAGGGTGTTTCCAGGGATCTCCAAAGACTACATGGAATATGTGTGAGTGCCAGCAGCTCATTGTGCGAGCCAGGTTCCTGACTGTGGCCTTCATCCTATGGACACTTACACTCATTCTTAATTTATAAGTATTAATAGGCCCATTAGACTTAATGGGTGTGAAGCTAAGTATGTGTGTAAGTGCGGGAGCAGACCTCAAAGTGATGCAACAGAGGCAGGCTGTTCTGGGAGGATCTGAGTTCGTCTGCCCCTCTTCCCACTCAGACAAAGTTGCTTTTGCTTTTAGGAAGTTTTAAGCTAATTATTTTAGGGTACGTTTTAGGGCTGGGTTTTATTCCTTTTTAAAGGGTGGTTGGCAGAAAAAGAAGAAGTGCTTTTTAATTATTTCTCTGGCATTTCTTCATGCAGTGCCTGATTCAGGGCGGTGCTGAGGAACTTCATCTTCCTCCGGTGTGTGCCGCAGGATCAGGCTCTGTGTTCAGGTGGACATCAGCATTTTTATTCCAGGTCAAAGTGACGAAAGATTGCTGTATGATTTGTCACGTCCCTTTCATTTTAGTTATTTATTTATGTCCATAGCTGAATGCACTGTGCTGCTTGTCTTCATGCGATCTTTGTTTTAATGGTATGACATAGAGTCCAAAGTAACTTGGATTTGGATAGAGCCCGTGGGTTTGGAAAGCTCTGCACCACGCAGCTTTGGTGATGTTGGTGAAATTCTGGTGTGCGTTGGAGCAAATCTAAGCTTATGAGGAACTGTCTTAATTGGAGGTTTGCTTCCTTGTAAACCAAGCGAACAGAACTTCCCCAGAACCCACTGAGCTGTGCTGGTAAAGAGGGAGGCTGTGAGCCACACGCATCTCAGCCCTGCAGACACTTCCGAACTGTGCTTTATCCACACCCAATGCTTCCCTTCGTGTTGATGGAACAACTGCTGTGTGTTCATGGTTAACAATGGGCCTTGTCTCAATCTCTGATGCTGAAGCACTTAAGGGTTCTCTGGTAATGCACAAATGCGTTCCCTCCTCTCTCTGGGAGGTGCTTGCCCAGCAGTGTGAGTCACTCCTGTCCTCGTGGTTGCACTTACATTGCTGGAAAAACAGATCCTAGCTGGTTCATCTGGGTAATGATTGCAGCAGGAGCAGTGATTTCCTTAAATGATGGATTTGCCCCTTTTGGCTGGAATTAAGAGCGTGACTCAGGCATCCTCTACGGTCTTATCTTGTGGTCCCTGAAAGGAAAGGAGACACAGGAGAGGGTTTTATTTTTAAAAGCAGTGAAATGGAATATGCTGAAGAAGAAACCAAGTGTTATGTGAACACATCTTTTGAATTCTGTACTGGACAGAATCCTGCTCCCATTGGATTTTGCCTGTGATTCCTGGAGGCCAGGATTCCACCCGTGGGAATGAGATTACGCTTCACAGTTGAGGATGGCATGTCAAGGATTTACATTTCTCACAAACCACAGAGCTTTGCAGCTCTGCTGGCACTCTGACCCCAGTGATATTCCAGGCAAGCAGTTTCTTTTCTGGCTCATTCAAAGCCATGGCGAGGCAGATGCCTTTCAGTAGGGTGGCAGTTATTCAGTTGATTGTAGGGGTTTCCCACCTGTTCCTTCTGCCTTCAGCTTCATTCCCAGGTTCCTGTAGGATGCAGGAACCAAGAGTTTCTCCAACCTGCTCCCAAACTGGAGAGCTGTCCAGTGTATTTTCCAACCACAGCTCCCCCCTCCCACCTTCCTGTGCTGAGATGATAAAAAAGCAGTAATTAAACGTGGAGCCAATGACGTTATCTTACACAGCATCAGAATCGTGTGACTGAGGGCTGTCCCTGAAGAGGATGTAAGAAATACAGCACCAGCTGACTTTCTCTGAGCCCCTGCTGCGGCAGCTGCCTCTGGAAGCGATGCCTGCACAGCTCAGCAGGCCGACAGCTGTTTGAGTTCTGCCCCTCCATCTTCAAATCGTTTTGTTTTTAAAGCCCTTTGGTCCCTCCTGGGCTGTGTGGAGGTAAAAGAAGCGCTTTTAAAAGTCAAATCAGGGCTGGGGGTTCCACAGGACGGTTGGCTGGACTTGTTGATGGGAGTCATGGTGTACCAACCTGAAAAAGTTAAAAGGAAACAGCATTCAGCTGCAGCATTCCTACAGCAGTGAGTGTGAAAACAACGAGCTGAACATGTTTCCTTCTCCGCTTGCCCAAGACCAAAGTTCAACGTTCAAAATTCAACATCTCCTGCGTGAGGTGGGTGCTGTGACACCCACACAGACACGGGGGGGCGACGCCTCTGCCCCTCGGCCTCTGCTGCACTGAGTGTGACCCCGAGCTGTGGGCGAGGGAGGGGGTGAGCAGCGGGACCCCCAGCGCCATGCAGGGTGCTGGGGGAGGGGAGCCGGGGTGAGGCGAGGGCACCGTCACTGCTCCACAGACAGCAGAGTGATGTGTAAATGCTTGGTCTCTTACAAATGGTTTATTTTTTAACTATTTTTGCTTATTCTCGACGATACGTCTTTCAGTATTGGAAAGATCAGTGTGTACACAGAATAAAAGCCAAGCCTTTTAATCTCAAGGGGAAGAGCGTACGCTGAGATTAAAAGAAAATGGTTCTTTTTCTAAGTGGTCGTTCTGTAAATCCGCGTTCGGGGTGGAACGGGGGGTGGAGGGGTGTTGAATTGTGTTCGGGGTTCCTGCGCATCCCGTGGCGCTGCCGGCAGGGGGCGCTTTTCGCCATGCTCGATTTTCCCGCGCGAATGACGTCACTGTGACGCAGCACCAACTCGGCGCGCCATTGGCCGCTTCCCGCGCCCCGTCTGCTCCTCCCGGAAGAGAACGGCGGGGCGGGGGGCTCTGCCCCCGGGAACCCCCCTTCCCCCCCCCCATTGCAGCCCCCCCG